GGTTGAATTTTTGTGCGAATTTTGACGGTGGATTTCTGGCTTGAAACCTGAACAACATCAGCAAGAAATGCGCGGGTGCGCCCTGACCTGCCAAAATTAGTTAGTGTCAATGACCATGTTTTGCAGCTTTCCCGAATGTTGTTAATTATCAACTGGACATTGTTGGTTTGCTTTACTCGTTTTGCTGAAGCCGCTTATTTCCCTATCTAACCCCAATATACTACATTAGTTTCCATTTGCTTTTCCAGTATCCTTATATATTGGCTATACTCTAAACTCTTCAAAGGGGAGGATTATATAGGGGATTACTATAGGGGGTATTAAGAGGGATACTAGGAGTCTAGACAGTAGCTCATATGCCCTGGTGACCCCTATCTACTTGTTCATCTTGTTGGTTTGGAATCGTTTTATGGAGGCATGCCATGCTGCCCTCAATTACTATAGGGGCCTTAGTGGTGCTGGAGAGTTTAGGGTTTTGGATTTAAGAATTGGTGAATGATAGGGAAATCTAGAGGACCATATGGGAATTTTTATGCGCGGAACGGAATCTACTGTAGGGCACCGTATTTTTTAGGGTTTAGTGGCCTACGCGTGAAGAAGAATGGCGAATCACATGGAAAAGCAGATGAAAAAATGAATGGAGACTACTGTTTAGGGTTTAGGGTTTTCGCCTGTATCATAGTATATACTATATCATACTGTTATGATACTAATATCATGCGATTATTATACAATAGGATGGCCAAACAAGAATGTTGGCAATTCTTCGGGCTTCTACAGTACGTTCGTCTGACAAACCTGAGTGGGTTCAGGGTTAGGGTTTACCCTAAACCCTCCCCTATATTTCTTTACATCAACATACTGGCGGCATGCTCATGGAGCATTGTCTTTCCCGAAATCCGTACATACCATTGCAAGAGCATGCTGGAGAAAAGTGGATTGTACATGGAATGTATACGGATTGTAATATAGGGAATTTATAGGAGAGACTATGTAGGGATGCAAGGTCCAATAATGGAGAATCAAACGGAAAAATGTGGAATCTGACATGGAGGCGGTCTTAGCCTGCTTTGTCGTGTGCTCCTCCACAGCTCCGTGCGGCGTGGAGTTGCTGCTTGTGGCGGAAGGTTTTTTTTTGCAAAGGTGTGGCTTGAGCCTTTTTTTTGCAAAGGTGTGGCTCGCTCCTTTTTGGTCTTCGAACGCTTCAAGCGCTGTAAATTATAGCATTCGCTTGACCATCATGGCCCATCCACGCTGGCCTAGGCGTGAATCCTGTGTTTTGGTGCGCGAATCTGTCCGTTCGGTGCGCGAGTCGGCCTGATTTTTGGCGTGCAAATCCGTTCCTGCGCCAGTGCGCGAATGCTTGGTGCGCGAATCCGCCGGCGGCAATGCGCGAATCCTGGCGTTGCCCCAGTTCGCGAATGCACCTTTTTGGTGCGTGGATCCGCATTTTTGCTGCTCGGCTTTCAACTGGCAATGCAGCCCATTTGTGTCATACCAACGCCGCGTACCACACGACCGCGCCAGGCGGGTGCGTCAAGCACCCCTGCTCTGGGTGCTAGGTCGGAGATGGGTCCGAGACGGTGAAATGCGTCGGACCGTATCAAAAGAAGGGTCCTACCGGCTTCACCGCACCATGCTATTTTGGGCATCATTTTGCTGGAGCATGTTGTGCTCTCCATGCATGAATCGGCATGGGCCTAAGGATTGCCAAGAAGACGTCGCTGATTTTCCCCGAGTTTGTGACGGGCCCAAAAGATTTTCAATTGTAGTGCGGCTGCAATGGAGATTGCGAGCAGATTGCTAAGAAGCAGCAAGGAAGACGAGTATGTTCTTCTTCCAGATATAGTGGGGGAGCCCAGCAGCGCATGTGGAAGTGCCCGTTCCCCCGGCTTTGAGCAAGTGCTAGGATGCAACGACGGATTTCCACTGAAGGTCATCAGGTTGATAAACACGGCCACTGGCAAGGATGAAGGGTGCTTGCCCCGGCTGAAGCTGTGCAAGCTTGCTGGTCTTTTCTTGCACAGTTTTCTTGAAATGCAAACATGTAGTTTCTGATTCCATACAAATTTGGGGCTGTGGCGCGTAAGGATTGCTTGCCTGTCTCTTCCTTACAGCGGCAGCGACCTGCCAAAACACGAT